AATGTATTGTTCATCATCTCTCTTAAAAAAAAATACAATCATAGATCCCAAGAGAAGAAAAAAAAATTGCCAAACAGACTTATAGAAGAGGATACCAACTTAAACCATTTACGGGTTAAAAATGTTTACACACCAAGTGTTTCCCCTTCAAATTGGTCGTTACCCAATCAAAATTTCCTCGATCCACCACACCAATTGATAGCTCACAACTAGATTAACAATTCTTAAATGGTTAAAGAGGAAGAAGACAAGTAGAGGAGGCTATAATCGAGGAGAGAAGTCCAACGAATCGACTCGATTTTGAATCCGTAAATATCACTATTTTTTGCCAAACTCACAAACCCACTACTAGAGAAGTGTCCCTCATCCTCCTAAAAGTTTTTCCCCTTTGAAATCATGAAAAAATCTTGCTAGAAATGACCAAATTAAGGAGGAGAAGATTTTGCGATTTGTTTACCCACTTATCCTCAACCCGACTTAATTACCTCGATCCAACCAAATTGGACCTCCTAACCATAATAGACATGTTCCTCGTGGTCCTCTAAGTAACTTGGTGTTCTCCTTTTACCTCGCCGTGACTAGAATCTTCGTCGAAAAAGAGGGAGAAATAATCGAAACTTCACTCACATTGATCTCCCTTCTACATTAATGACGATGACTGTCACCACCACAATATCATATAGGAAAACCTCCTTGAGCCTATGGACTATTCGATATGCTTAAAGGACATCGAATGGTGGTCGGATATGTCGATAGTAGCACTTGGGCTCATTAGGGTCATTTTGGTAATTTACACTAGGGGTAATTTTATCATTTTTCAGCAAGCATCTCGGGGATATTTTAGTCTCTCTCAAGTGACCATTCGATTTGTTTTCTTACTTTTTTTTAATTATTTTATTATACTTTTTTATAACAATATTAATTTTATTTGTGTTATAAAACCTATAAATTATTAGGTTGTGAAATGTATTTTAATATATGGAGTTGATTTGGTTGCGATATTTAACCAACAAGTCTTCTATTTATTAGGAACGGAAAATTGGTTTCGATGTATATTTTATCCAATAATAAAAATGCTAAAGAAATAATAATAATGGTTCAAGTCGATTCAATTTTATTCGAGCATTTTGACATAAATACTTTTAGTTAATTAGGTCATTCCTCAACACGTTAATTGTGTTAGGAATTTAATTTGAATTTGAAGTTAAATTGACAAGATTCCCAAATCTTGAGGTCCGACATTAATTTAATATAATGCTATAAATACAAAAGATAAAAAAATAACTTTGATAATGTTTTTTCGCATATTTCAAAATAAAACATTTTTAGTTTAATCAAGAAAATAACAAAAAAGAAAGGGTTTACCCCATCTTTGGTTCCTATACAACCCAAATTTTTTTATTGAGACCCTCTATAATTTTTCGGTTTGATTAAAACCCTTTACTCTTATAAATTTATTGATTCGGATCCTCCATTAACTATTTATCCGACATGGTACATTAAAATTCACATTAACCAATCACAAATAGACATATGGTATAGTGGGTCCCAAAAAATACCTTTATCATTCGAAAAAAATAAAAAACGAGATGTTTATAATAAACTAATACTTAAAATAAAAAGTAAGGAAAAGAAAAATACCAAAAACCTTGTTAAAATTTTAATCTTCACCACTAAAACAATCGGAAGACTAAAAATTTTCTTCTTATTTTTCAACTTTTCTTAGAAAATCAAAGAAAACGAGAGTAATTTTTTATTTTAAGTAATAAAAGAAAATCACGTTGAATCAAATAATCAAATATCTTTTAATCACAATGATTCTCAACCTAATTTAAAAAGTTGATCTCTCTCTCTCTCATATTGTCTCTATTTCTTAAAAAAAAAAAAAATCCAAAATCAAACAAACTCGGTCGATCAAATGTATTGCATCAATATATCAAATTAAGTAACTTTTCTTTTTCTTTTTTCTAGTTCAACTAAGAATACCAATTAATTCCACCTAATTACTTCTACTTCTAAACCAAAACAACCAACTCTCCCCAACAGATAATACTAGTTGGCCTAGTGGCCCTTCACTTTTAGGCTTGGAAGAATCGGTGTCCCACTTCAAATGGATGCTCTAAGTTCAATATTAAAGATGAGAGCTATACTTATGTTGGCGATTATGAGGAAAATGAGTTCTAGGTTTCAATTAGGATTCAGTGGAACCGGAAAGTAGAAGACATGGTGGTAGGTAGCTGTCGAGGGTTTTTAATGGATTTTAACAAGAAATAATTGTTGTAATTATTTAGGGATTTTGTTGTTGTGATTAAATGTAGATAACAAGAGCTAATTAAGGTTTATAAAATGAAGTTATATTTTGTGGGTTTGAATTTATTTTTTGGAGGTTTTTTCTTTTTTATATACTTTGGTCGTCGTTTCTTGGTGGGTTTTCAAAAATGATGGGTATGGATAAAGGAAGGGGTCTTTTTCACGGGGAAATAATTAAGTTTAAGTGTGAAATGACTTTTTTTTCCTTTTATGTTTGTTTCTTGGGTAAATTTGAGAGAAATCGGCATATTTTTTGTTTCGGGTTGTGGAGGAGATAATGTGTATATGGAGTTCGGAAGGCATGTGCGAGTCACTTGTAGATGTTTCCAAGCTTTTCCATTTACAAATGCTAAAGAGACAGTACGAGGGAGAGAACAACAATGCTTCTTTTTGTTTAATCAAATTTGATTTGGGTGATGATAATAGGGGTTGAGGCAGTTTTATCTTTTCCTATCCATTTTTATATACTAATAGATAATTTAAAAATGAAAATATTTATTTTTTTATTTTAGAAAATACTTTGATATTTAGGACCCACTATGCCAAATGTTCATTCGTAATTGATTATCGTTAATTTTAATATGTCACATCGGATAAACGAGTTAATAGAAGATTTGAATCAATAAATTTGTAAGAGTAGAGAGTTTCAATCAAGCTAACAAATTATAAAGGTTCTCAATAAAAAAAAAAAAAAACAAACAAACCGTATAGGAACCAAATGCGGGGAAAAGTTAAAAAAGAAGAAAGCATTTTAAACAATTTTAATGATTCTTTTATCCAATAAAGACAGACGTTGTTAATTCAAATCACATTGTTCATAATTAGGTCGTTCTCCAATATATCAATTATGTTAAGAATTAAAATAGATTTGATGTTGAATTGATAAGACCCCAGATAATCGGAGTCCCATGATTAGTTCAATATGATGTCACAAAAAAAAAATTCAATTATCTTAGGAAGTAAACTTGAAATTTTAACTTAGGAATAATTTTGGCAATAATAGAATTTTTAGGAAATAAATTTTAGGATTAGACCAAACGTGGTATTTTTCCTCAAAAAAGATGTTTCTAGTTGATTAATATCTTCCCTAAAACATAACCAACTTCTTAACCTAAGATCTCCGAACTAGTTTCATTTTTTGGTTTTCTAATCCCTTTAATACTAGGTGACGATTTCAAAATTAATAATAACTTATATTCCTAATAAACAATATTTCAACTAATACTTTTTTCTATTTTTTTTAAATCTCTTAAATATCGAGTAGCAATAGTCATCATATGGATAGTCCGTTCATATGATGAATAAAAAGAAGAACCCTACGGAAAACAACATGGATGTTTTGTATTGATTGGATAGCTCGGCATTTACCGAGTTAAAAAAGAGAAAACATTTTCTTTCTCACGAGTCGTCTCACTCTCGTGTTACTTACCTTTTTCGATATATTTTAACAATTTTTTTCTCTATCTTCTTTTTATTTAAAATATATCAAATTAATTTTTAATTATTTCTTATCAATTGTTATTAATTATTTAATAATTTTTCTCTATTTCTACTAACATTTGATTTTTTTTATTTATAAATACTTTGAATATTCTTAAAAACCATTTTTTGCACCTTAAAATTATTTTTATGATAAATATTTCAATAATTTATCTATATATTTTTACTATTATCTCAAACACCACCTAAATTATACTTAAATGATTGAAAAATGATTATTACAAGGCCGCAATCATTTGTAAAATTTTATTGATAATTGTAATGAATAATTAGTTACAAATTATTCCATTATTAATCTCTTAAAACTAAATGAATAATTATCTATAAATGATAACTAATAATTTGTAAAAATATTTTTTAGACTAAATTATGAGTTCAATTTAAAAAAAAAAAAAAAAGATTTCTTAATTGAGTTACTAAAATAAAAATGCTAGGATTACTTGGATTTTTTTTTATTTACTAAATGTAAATATTGACTTGATTTTGTCATAAGTAATTTTGATGAATTGGTTTGATGATTAAAAAAGTACATTTTATTTTTTGAATTTAAATTTTAGAGTAAGTAGTTATGAAAATTTATTAAATTTTTTTAAATATATCTTATGTTGAGTTTTCTCAAAACTCATTGATGTAACAATCACATACTATATATTTTTCAATAGTTTTTTTATGCAATTGTCAAACGGTAGAAAATATTTTTTTGAAAAATAGCTTTTTAATGAATTAATTTTCTTATAGAAGTTATTTTCCTCCAAACAAATGGAGCCTTTGAATAACTTAAACTTATTTGTAAAACGATTTTTCATGTTTAAAAAAAAAAAAAGTTTCAAAATGACTATGGTCATAACGTTCAGATCTTTAAGTTCTAAAATTTTTGTTAGTGCCATTAAAAAAAATAAAAAGAAAATTAAATTTCAAGCAACAAGGTTTAGGATTTGACTTGTATATCTAGAAGGCTAGATTAATCCTGATTTTCTTGTAATGCGTTACTGCAATTTCCGCTAACGTTCCCCATAAATATCGGCACTAGTGGACGTTGGTTGGCATTCTAGTGAAATTTCTTTAACAAATTCGCGTTAATTAATATTTTACTCCATCTTGTAGGAACTTTCCACTATTTTCTCGCACCCATTTCGTAATAATTTTATTTTCCACATCACGGCTTGGATTTACTCCCAAGGCAATAAATCATGATTGCTCAACTCCCTAAAATATCTAGAGAGAAGGCAACACATGCACAAGAGTCAAAAATTGGCTCCACAAAATCAAGGCCACAAAAAAGACTTTGCTCTCAGGTATATTCGTGTGGGTCAAACCCAACATGTCATGACAGTGATGATAAATTCGAGAGGTGATTCAAAGGGCAGATAATAATATGACAATGCGAATTGATTATGACCTGTTTCTACAAAATGCAATGCATCTTCCTCACTCACTACAAAAAGTAAATATCTTATGGTTCTCCCAATAAAATAGCTCCTATGGAAATAGAGGGAATGATATTGCCCAGAACAGGTGCTTTTCAGTCAACTTTGTTTTTTTTTTAAAAAAAAAAAAAATGAATATTATATATTGACTTCTCTTTCAATCCGAATCTATGTACTTTCTTTTCTTTTAAGTGTTTCGAACTTCGTAAATGAATTTTTTTTCCCTTTAAGATGGATTTAGTTAATTGAAAACCATTCTTATCCTTGAAGGTTTAGTTTGATTGATAGATGAAATAGTTTCTCTAATTTTTATATAGATTTTGAATCTTAAATGGTGCAAAATATATAAATTTTTTGATAAAAAAGTGATTTAATTTTGGTGTATTGATAAAATTGTTTTAAAAAAAATTCTTATTGTTAAAATTTAAAAAAGGAAACTAAAGTGTTTTTTCCTCTCTAAAATTGGTAAATATGGTATCAACAAAGCAAAGTGGTCAATATAATTAGAGTAACATACACGCATTATTTTTTTTTTAAAAGAATGAATATATTTTTAATTAGTTTTTAACTATCAAGTGTCCATTTGAACTGCACCAACTGATTAATTAAACACATTTTTTTTCCATCCACATAAATTAGCTTCATGAAAATTTTCTCACACAAATCAGGTTTCTGAAATGCTATGCAAAGAGTCCTCTTGGGTGCTTTCTGATTGGATGAAATATATATGCTTTGAGACCGAATGATGATGATTAAAATCTCAAGACTCTCACCCACCTTAAACAAACCTTGAACATTATAACTAATCTTTGTAGTGACTTTATATTAGATTAAATCAAAAGAATATCACATAAAATTCAATTGATCAGTGTCCCAAAGTCCTGTTAATGTCATCATGATTTTTCATGATTTTATCTTAAAAGATGTTTTGATTTTATCGTTTCACTTTTATTAAATCAAAATGACTTTGATTTTATCGTTTCACTTTTATTAAATCAAATGACAAATGAAAAGCTTTTAAATGTCGCCATACGAAGTTTGAACATGAGAAGTGAATGAAGATATTCTCTAATTAAAGACAGAAAAAGAACGAAAGTAGAACACTCACTGCTTATTCTAAGGTGCTAGAAAAAGCCGTGCTACATTAATTAAATGATTGATTAAAAAGGAGATGCATTCCCCTTCAGAGTGGTGGTGGCTAGTCATGACAGGATACTATGTGTGACTTACCTTTTGAAGGAAAGACAAAAACATCTAAATATCTCACCTCAATTCTATGAGAAGCAATAAAGTTACAAAAGCTAACATGCAGCTTCTGATCTTTAACGTGTCATTACCAACAATTTATGCCAATTTTTCATTTAAATAGATACAGAATATCTCCTTTTTTTTTCTTTTTTTTATTATTATTATGTGTGCTCCCTTCAGTTTACATTGGTGCAGGTGAGTCATAGAGTAAATGTTGTTCAGAAAAATTGAGTTTTAGTCGTATTTTTGTTAGAGTTATTACAGTATATTTTGGAAAAACAATGTACCCATGTGACGACATTTCAAATCTATTTAGCAGCATTTCTGTAGTTATAGAGTCAACTATATCCATTTTAGTAGCAATCATGATAGATTTTTATGGAGATTGGATCTAACGACATTTATGTCAAATACTGTACTATAATTAATGGCATTTAGAATTAATGTGGTTATATCTAATGTTCATAAAGGTTAAGATAATTGCCACTAAACTAATGATATCAATGTCGCTAAACATATACATGATAATAAAATAAATTTTGAGAGAACTGTTTAGATCAATAGCGGCTTTTTTCATAGAAAATATATTATTAATAACTACAATATCTCTGCCTTCTTCATTTTCTTAGATCAATCTTACAACCTCTTGTCTTCATTAAAAAGAAAAAAGTGAATACTCTTGAAGTGTCTTTACATATATAGTACCTCTTGCATTTCAAGAACTCAAATCTCCATCTTGTTATAGTTGGAGCCCAAAGTATTAAAAAATATACTGAGCAAAGAAATTTCATTGGTGCTTTGATGTCATAGGTCGGGGGTCTTGCACTGCACACCAAAGAATCAATAATTCAATATTCACTAATAGTAGTTTTAAACTATGTTTCAAAGTTCCCTAATTTACCTTCATATAAATTAGTGCTTAGTTTCTATGCTTTGGTTTCCAACTTTAGATAATCTTTAATTTTTTGTTTTTCTCCCCACTTTGCTAATGAATCAAGCTTAGTTGTAATATATATATATATATAGATGTCTTTTTGCCCTAGCTCTTTCAACCATATGCAATGCTTCCTCTTTTCTACAAAAGGAAAGGAAAATGATGGCATGGTCGTCGAGCCATATCGGGTTTTAAAAAACACCATCAAGACAACCAGAAATACAATTTATATTAGCATGGTTAACTTTATATTTGTATTATGTGCAGTCTCCGTGCGGTTAATTTTCTGCTTCCAGGTTGTACTAAAAAATATCGTCGCCAAACCAACTAGGCTATAAAAGCCTGTTTTCGACAAGAGGAAAGGAACATGATGACATGGTCGTCGAGCCATATCAAGTTTTAAAAAACACCATCAAGACAACCATCAACGATGAACTCTTCTATCATTAATATGTTTTTCAAATTAGAATTTAAGAACAAGATATATATTTATATATACCTCTATAAATTGATATTAAATTACGAGGTAAATATTTTTCAATTAATATTTGAAAGGTTTGGAGTGCTAGCTCTTGAACTTGTGTCATGCAACAATGATGATGGTTTACATGGAGGGAGAATGCCGCACATGCATGAACTTGTTGTTAGAGGAGAGACCGAGCTTTATGGAGGGTGAAATGGCAAGCACGAGGTTTTTTTGAGAGGGCATGGGTTGCATGAACTTGTTGCCAATACATGAGAGAGACAGACTTATATATATAAGTCTTGTAAACTCTATCCTAAAGTAGATTTTTTTCTCTCACATATTTTCAGTGATGAATAAATATTTTTTTACACGAATTGGACTCACTATTGATTCATATTCACATAGTAATAGGTTCCACGATCATATTCCAGTAGATCAGAGATAATTTATGAGGCTGGATAAGGTTATTGATAAATACACATAGTTAATGTTAGAAAATGAATTAAGCAAGAAAATACAAAAAAAAAAAAAAAAACAATTATAATACAAAAATAAAAACAAAAACAATTATAATACAAAAATTTACTTAATTTAATAATTTTATCTATTTCAGGATTTTGTACTATAACTTTTTATTAGGATTTTATCTAATGGCTCCTTATAAATACAAAAAATATTATCTTTATTTATAGTATGAACAACTAAAATTATATATATATATATATTAAAAAAAAATCTAATGAGCATATACAATTAACCCAACTTAACCGTTAATTCATAATTAGTTTTCATTTCATATTTTTAGAATTTTTTATTAAAATCCTATTTAATGGCTCCTTATAAATATAAAAAATATTATCTTTATTTATAGTATGAACAACTATATATATATATATATATATATATATATACATATATACATATATATATATATATATATCATATTTTTAAAATTTTTATTAAATCCTATCTAATGACTCCTTATAAATATAAAAAATATTATCTTTATTTATAGTATGAACAACTCTATATATATATATATATAATTAACCCAACTTAACCGTTAATTCATAATTAGTTTTCATATCATATTTCTATCATAATTTTCTTTTAGGGGATATTTAAATGCTAGAAATAGGAGATGAGATTTCGAAATGCAATAAATTATCCTTCGATTACCTATATCGAGACCCCATTAAGTTTACGTTTTCTTTTTCTTTTTCTTTTTTTTTTTTAAAAAAACCTCTTTCATTAAATTTCAAATCAATCAATCTTCTTTATTGATTCCCAAGGTTACGTTGGGGCATGTCCATGGATATGTAGAAAAGTCTCCTTATTTTTGTTTCTATTTATTTATTTTAAAGTAGGTAAAGTCTCCTGATATTAAAACTAATTAAGGGCGCATAGAACGAAGGAAATGACTTCTATTATAATACATTTCTATATAAGAACATATGTTTTAAATATAGATTGTGTTAAAAATTTCCATTTTCTTTGATATTTATATGTATTTTTGACTTAAAAATACTAATTTAATAGATAAAAACACGTATTCTTATATAAATACGTGTTTATACTAGTCATCCCATGAATGATAAGTTGAATGACTAAATGAGAAAACATTTAATATATATATAATCCTTCTTTTACGTGTGAGAATACTAAAGGGGTTATAAGAATCAGAGGACGCGCACCTCTCAAGTTAAAGACAACATTTTTTTATTTTTTTTTTAAGGTAGGGTGGGAGGAAATGGTTTTATAACCAAGATATATGGTTAGCTGCGTGCTTGAATAATCAAAAAGGACCCTGACCGTATTATCAAAACAAAAACAAGTTAATTGCTGACTTGCTTCAATACCTAGAAAGCAAGATAACGGAAGGGTTTTAAATAAATATACACACTAGAGTCATACAGCGACGGGTGACAAATTCGTCGCCAAAAGACTTTTTTGTTAGGTTTTTTTTTTTTTTTTTTTTTTTTTTTTTTTGTGGATTAACTGCCTTGTAAATGCCAACAAATAATCCAGATGTAGTAGTATATTATTATTATTATTATGAAAAAATAATTTTTATATACTCAGAATCGGAAAAACCGCATAGTATTGCCATGTTTTGGAATTCTTGAGTTCTTTTTCATTCATCATTAACAATTTGAACAGAAAAAACAAAGATCATACATATACTCTCCTCTCTCTCATCATCATTTTTCCTTCAAATCTCTAAACGGGGAAAAAAAGAAAAAGAAAAAGAAAGAGAGAGAGAGATCATGACCAAGGACAGAACCTGAATTTTCTTGATAATGTAATCAAAATACAGACAACAAACTCGAATCAACTTCACGTACAGTTTCCAGATGAGCAATCTTCTTCTTCTTCTTCTTCTTCTTCTTCTTGCAGAGGCATGATTCAAAAGGCTTGATATGCTGCTTTCTACTCCCTTCTAGCTAGTCTGGCTAGTAAAGTTCCAGCTCTTGTATCAAACAGAAGTGGCGGCGATATTGGGCTCAGCTGCTGATGGAGATAAAGCCAAGAAAAGCAGAAGAATCATGATAAAAACTGGAATAAAAAGAAACAACAAAGGCGGCGGCGATAACGGTGGCAATACCAGTGGAAGCACCAGTAAAGACACTGTCAGCACAACCATGGCAACAATGGATCTCAAGCTAAATTCCCTCAACATCAACTTCTATGCAAAGACATGAAACCTTGGATCTTGATCATGATCTTCCATGATCACTAGTGTCCATGCCCATAGTATTGTAGCATTTTTATTTATTTATTTTTTTAAATCCAAGTGGTCAAGGGGGACTTGAGAAAACTTTGCAGTATGAGGTTTATGTTGGAAAAGTAGGAGAGAATTTGGAAGTAGTACTAATGGCTTGAGGAATTCATCAAACGGGTCCCACAGAAAACTTTGTTTTGTGTCTTCCTTCAGTTAACCTAAATTTATAGCATATAAATAATAATCCTCCTAGTTGGCGTTTTATCAAGAGATGTAAGGATTAGTCTCGAACAAAGTAGGAGGATTTGTTTTTAGCAATGGCTAGTTGCCCATTGTAAAACCTTGAACCTTTAAATTTAACTTGTTTAAAAGACCTATCTCTCATCCACACAAAATTGAAAATGGGACAAGCCTATTAACTAAGTTTCTTGTGGCATAAAAGTATGATTCCTTGCTAGTTAAAGTTTTCTTTAGATTTAGTGTTTAAAAATCCAAACGTTATCATCAAATTGTTTTGGTATAATGGTAAACAAATTAGTTCTCAAATAAATTTTTCGTTAATATATAAAATTTTAATTTTAAAATTTTTTTTATTGTATAGGTAGAATTAGTTTTATTTATAATATAAGATAAGATATCTAGCGGCAAACTGAAAAAAGTAACTCCAAACGTTACTTAATTTAAGTGATAGATGGAAGCTTTGTCTTTTTAATTTGATTTCCAAGCTATATCTCACTCATTGGCTAGGCGTGGTCAGTGGCGTGAGTCACGCATATGGTTTTGTTCTTTGAACTTTTCAATCCTAGATTTTCAAATTAAAAAAAAAAAAAAAAAAGGAAAGAAAATGGAACAGAGCTGGGACCGAACAGTATGGGGCAATAAATTGCAGAAAGGAGAACCCTTTTGTCTATAGGAATTCAAGGGGCTTTTGAGTTTAAGGGTCTCTCTGCTCGTGATTTTTATTCTTCTTCAGTGGTCCCCTAGTATTTTAGTATTTTTTTTTTTTTAATATTTATATATATTGAAATATTTTTGAATCAATTTTTGAGTCAATGGAAATTAAATATCACTTTTTGATATAAAAAATCTATCACTTTTTATATAAATCAGCATTGAATCACCTATATATATATATATATATTAAAAACTAAACTTTTTAAGTTGGTTCTCAACTCTTATGCAATGCTATAGAATAAAATAAAAGAGTTTTTCAAAATTGAGAATTTAACCTTTAATGAGTGATGGCATGCCATAGTGCCATCAAATAATTATCTAAACTTAACAACTATAGCTGGTGGCAAGTGTAGGTCGATCTTATAAGGACTAAGTTACATTGCTTTTCTTATATTTACTCACGAAATAAAAAGAGGTTGTATTAAATATTAGCAAAAAGAAAAGAATTAAAGTAAAGAAATTACTCAAGAGAAATAAGCTCGGTCAAGAGTGAACGTTTACCTTTGAATTGCAAGTTGATCGTAGACGGCATTTAAAAACATTATTCATGATTTATTATTCAGTCTATATCAATCTAAAAAGTATAGATTAACTCGTTCTCTTTACTTAATTATCAAACACAAGAAAATCATGTTGTTTGAATTCTAATTATTGAATCATATAGGACAAGTTCTCTACGTGTAATCCAACAATAGCATTAATGAATTAGAGAACAATCAAAATAGATATTCAACACTAAAGTGGGTTGGTTTAACCTATATTTCTATTCTTGTTAGATTATAATGATATCAACATAAGAAATCACTAAATCTAATTACTTCTTCGACAAGTTTGTTGTAACCCAAAATTTTTCAATATTTTTTTATTTTAATTTTTTCTCATTTATTTTAATTTTTATGTTATGTTATTTTATTTTGAAATTTACTAAAAAAAATGAAAAAAAGAACAAATATATATATATATATAGTTCAAAATAAAAAAAAAGAAAAAAAGAAAAGAAAAGAAAAACTCATTGCTCTTAACCTTAAATTTCTCCTATAAAAGCAAATATCTTCCTTAATGTTGATGAGGTAGCCACAAAAAAGCGAGCCAAAAAAGAAAAACCACCACAATTCCCATGTTCTCCTAAACCCTAAACAATATAGTCTCTAGAAAAAAAAAAAAAAAAGGCTAGGCAACCATCTTCACTCGGAAAAGGATGACTGCTATGGCTATTCCTCCCTCCACCAAGCTTCGACCAATCTCCCTAATAACGGTAGCCATCATTTTCTTTCTCGTCATCTTCATCTCCACCTATTGTCACAATCGTCTCTCTCCATAAACCCTCCACCATCATAAACTCTCCACTAAAAACTCATCTCATAGTCGTTAGCCACTATCAACATAGTAGTCACAACCCCGAAACCTTTATTAGCCACTAGTGTAACAATTTCTACTCGTTGTCCGCCTCCAAGTCTAGCCAAACATCAACCATGTCTTAAACTCTCCTCTCTCGACTCAAGATCCACATAACCACTGCTTATTGCCTCTCTTTTATCTTGCCCACAAAAAAACCCCTCATATCCATTTAGTAAATGGACTCCTCCTTTCATCGCTACAACCATTTTCACCCTAGCCTCCTTTAGTTGGAAACACTAATTGCTGCCCAGCTTGACCACCTTTCTATCTTCATCCAAAACTAGCTCTCTCTCTCTTCCTAAGATCTCGAACCAAGTAGCTCTAGTTCTCCATAAACCATCCAACATTAAATCGATGCTCGTCACAAAAAATAACAATGTATCCTTCTCATAAGTAAAAACACAAACAATTGGCATAAATATCTTCCTAAACCACCACCATTACCATCTCTTATTTTCACAACCACATTGCCCATAGGTAACGTATCTTACTCCATCACCATCATCACCCACATTATCTCGCTTCATCAAAATCCTTCCTCTATATAGCTAACACAACCACTTGAACCATAAAACCTCATGGTCATAAAGTTTCACCAAAATTACCACTTAAAAAACCCATTAACTCACTAATTGCATCTTCTTTTCTAGATTTATCCACCATCAAAACCCATAATTTTGACCAGCCATCATCACACATATCATCCTTCTCACAAGACCAACATCATTTGTGAGTTAAAACCACTCATCACTACAAGAACCCGATTACCCATTAAAAAAAAAAAAAAAGAAACAACTTGTGCATTACCTCTTTGCCTTCTACAACAACAGAAAAACAATAACAAGAGAATGAGGATGGAGGATAGAGATTCTTCTCATTAGATTAGAGCGTAACATCGAGGATGAAGGATCGATGGGCATTTTTTGTCACCATAAATGAAGAGGTTTTTCTATTTTTTTTTTTTTAATGAGGAGGCAAAGAAGGATGAGAGGATGGAAGGTATAAAGTTTGATCTTTTTTAAATGAGTTTAAAAAAAATGTTACGGATTCGAGGCTTGGCTTTTGTTAAAAAAATGGAAACGGGCTAGGCTAATGGAAAAGCTAGCCTAGCCCGTATGGCCAAAGCTTAGGCTAGTTTCATCCAAGCTCAAACCCCTCAAAAAAAAAAAAAAAAAGGGAAATGTCCAATGGTTTGAGGGCCCATTAACAAATAAAAAAGCCCAATGCCCTATTTTTATTTTTTATAGATTAATTCTAAATTTTATTTTATGCATGCTATTTTATTTAATGTTTAATTTAAATTTAATGTTTAAATTTTTCTTAATTTATTTAATTAATACAATTGTGAATTTTTATTTGTGTAATTAGAATAGGTAATTAATGGGTGGACGAATTGTCAAGGTTTCTAATTTTTAGGGACTAATGACGATACTTCTTATATTAAAAAAAATGATAAAAAAAAAAAAGAATGCTAATAGTTAATTTTAGGATTTTGTTTCAAAACTAGTTTAGTAGTTAATAGGTGGATGGATTATTGAGTCTCCTAATTCTTAGGGACCGATGTCAATTTCTTATCAAATTGTCAATAACTATATTAATAGTTAACGAGTGAGCGAATTGTCGAGTCTCCTAATTCTTAGAAACTAATGACGATTTCTCATTAAAATATCAATAATTAGATTAATAATTAATAGGTGGATAAATTATCAAGTCTCTTAATTCTTAGGATTGATGAAGATTTCTCATCAAATTATAAAATAAAAACTTAATTTAACTTTGAAATTGGAGTTGAATTTCGAAATAAGTTGGGACAAAATAAAATGCTTTAGGAGATGAATTTAAGACTAAACTAGATGTGGTACCTTTCTTAAAAAGAACGTCTTTGAGTGATTGATATCTTTCCAAAGCGTAACCAACTTCTTATCATAGAATCTTTACACCGAGTGCTATTTTAGGTTTCTAATTTCTTCAATACTAGGTGGTGACATCAAACACAATAATAACTCGTATCTCTAGAATAACTCACAAACAAGATGTGAAACTTTGAAAACCTAATTTTTTTTAGAGTCTTGTCCAATGTTGGGAAGTGATAAAATGACGACTCCATTGGGGACTTAGAGTTAGGCCATAGATTTAGTGTTAAGTTATCTTTTGTATTTATTTTTATCAATTATTTTTTAAGTAATTTACTTTTTTGTCATTTAATTTTGTGCTACTTGTTTCTTGTACATGTTTTAAATTTTTTAAATTTATTTTTCTTATTGCAGATTTATTTTTGAACTATGATGGATGCTCTTTTTGAAATATTATGCATACCACAAGAAAACCAACAAAAGCTACGGACCGAACTAAAACCCTACTAGCATTTAAATAGAGAGATTTAGAGGCAAGTATAATGAAAGACTACCGATAATCTTTTGAACTCTCATTTGGACTCTATATATAGGAACCGATGGAATAATCTCTCTTACCTCCTCATGCATAAGATTATAGGTAGAATTACCCCACTAGTAATTTAGACATTCGAAACTTGAAAAGACTTTAAGATGAGACATGCTTTGCCTAAACCTAAGAAAGGCTAGATCTTGTCACTAGGATTGACTCGTTAAGACACGAATCATTTTCAAA